GATCACAGCTGCCGGGCAGAGGAGGGTTGAGGTGCGGGCCGCCGGCCCCGGGAGGGGCCTTGGAGCTGCAGCCGCCGCCGCCGCCCCCGTCGGGGGGATCCGGGGAGAGGCCTCCGGTGCCCCCATCGCTGTCGGAGCTCTGCGTGCTGCTGTTGACCGAGAGGCCGCTGGGCGAGTGGAGGTTGCGGTTCTGGCTCTTGAGCAGCTTCTTCTCGTGCTTGCGCTTCTTCTTCTCCATCTTCTCCAGCTCCTTGCGCGCGATCTCTTCGGGGTCCATGGGCTCGCCGCTGCACGTCGTCGGGTGCGAGTTGTGGGCCGGCCGGCCGGGCCCTTTCTTGGTGTTTTCCTTCTTCCTCCATTTGGCCCGTCGGTTTTGGAACCAGACGTACAGGCCGAACAAGGGGAGAAGCGGTTAACAGGCGCCGGCCTCCCCCGGGTGCACCCCGCAGGGCATGTGGGGCTTGGGGTGGGTGGGTGCGTGGGTGGGGGGCGGGTGTCAGGGTAAAGCAAGCGGGGGACGGGGGGAAAGGTCTGCCACCGGCCCCCTCCCGTCCTTCGGCCGCTAGCCTGTGCGCTTCTGCCCGATTTCCTCCGGGTGTAAGAGAAGGCCGGGAAGCAAGCCTGCCCGAACCATTCATTCCAGGGTGTCTGGCGCTTGGCTTTGCCTTCAGCATCGCGAGAACAAAGCTGTGGGGAAAGAAGCGACCCCCTGAGCAGAGGGAGAATTAGGAAACCCATCGTCCTGAGAGAAGCCAAGCCATCCCATCTAGGCGGGCGGGCGGGCGGGGAAGGGAGCGATCTGGAAATTCAAAGCCCCGCGCCCAAAAAGAAAAGATAAATAGGGTCTCAGAATGTCGGGTTTAGATGCGGGCAGATACATTCCCTACTGATATCTCTTATTACAGACGTTCTGGCTCCCCTCCCTACCACCACCACCACCCCAGCCTCTCTATACGGGCGAAAATGTCGTATCTCCTAGCTGAATTTTTGCCTCCCCACCCCCCGGAAGTTTGGTGGTTCCTCTCCCCCCACTTCCAGACCACGTTCAAATGATATTTATCCACGCTCCACGTTTGGGGAGACGTTTATTTGGGGAGACGGGAGTCACTGCTCCAAGAGAGGGGGGTGATTATGTATCCTAATTCAAAATTATCCACATGATCAGAGGCCTTTTTTTAAAAAAAAAATGTGTTTTTCCTTTTAAAAAAGAGGGGGGGGAGAGGGGGAGAGGGAAACGCACACTTGAGAACTTTGTACCCCTCTGTACCAAGAAAGAAAAGGAATCTAGTCACCGCGCGCACGCGC